AATATTTTTTAGTGTGGTAAACTTTGAAACATGGCTGTAAACATAATCCAACTTTACATTCTTTACACCAAATGCATGTCCCTTTACATATTTTTCCTCCATTGTTATCTTTTTTGGAGCAGCACACAGCACATTGCCTTCTACAGAATCCTATGTTCTGTTCCTTTTTCCAACCTATGTTCCTTTTTTTATAGAATTTGGTGGTATGTGGGTTGCAAAATGCTTTCCTACAAGGTGAATAAAGGTCATAACTATCAACACTAGACCATATTGATGAGCATATAGCAGAAGAGTATTTGTCAAAGATTTCCTTGATCACAGCTAGCTTGAAATCAAGAAGGGATTTTTTTTTTCTGTATATTATATAGGAATTCCACATTGCTTGATCCAATGTGTGGAAAAAATATTTTCTTGTAACATTTACAAAGTTGTTTTTGGGTACTAGGGTCGTACGACATCTCCTGATCACATTCGTCGACACCACCCATTGTTAAACCCACCACTTTTGACTTTAGTTTTTCTTTTGCCGTCCATGAATAAATTGATACAGATAATGCATCCTGAAAAGAACTAAGCATATTTACTATTTTTTTTTTTATCATTCCACAATGAAAGAAGCAACAGCATCCATCGTGTTCGGCTGTGAAGAAACATTAGTACTCCCTTACAATGATATAAACCTGTAGTGACATCTAGGTACAAAACGAAATGTGAAATATATATATTACAATATTCTCAGCCTATATCTAAGAAAAGCGGAATCCATATTCAAAATAAGCGAAATAAAATTACGCATGCTATTTTTACACGACCCATATTACAAGACAGATTTCATATCCCGTGGAAATTGCGTGGGCTGTATGCGGAGGGTCAAATATAATACAGGGCGATAGCATTTAGTGGCAACAATTTGAAAAGTTACTCAGACTTTTTAAAGTTTTCAACGCAAAATGCCAAAACGAAATTGATAGCCCTTCTGGGCTAATGCCCTTTGGGCTAATAATCAAAACTTCACGAATGCCACAAATCCATGTAAAATGTGAAAAAATCAAGGTATCAGTGTTGCTTTGCAAAAATTTAACTAACTGGTTTCAAAAAGATTTTTTTTATATTATTATTTTTTTTATAATAAATTATAACTTGATAAATAATTGAAGGTACAGTTAGGACCATAAATATTGGGTTATTAGTAATTGGGACAATAAAAATTGCCAAATTATTGTTGATGTGAAAATTAATTATGGTAACTCTGATAATAAATAATAATAAAGCATAATAGTAAATAGCTATCTAAGAGTATTATTTTGATTTAAATGAAAGGTAATTTCATATATTACATTTTATATTATAGGTCCATAATAAAAGAAAATTAAGCAACTAAACATAGTTAAAATTAAATGGGAGACATAACATTTTCTTATCGCTTTCAGCACTACAGAAAAAAATTTCAGTTTTTTTTCCCTTTTCATTCTTTCTTTTTTTGGGGAGGGGGATGTGTGTGTGTGCATATGTGAGTGTAATATATAAACACCTCCAAATAAATTCAGACAAATAAGAATCAAAGTGCTACTGAGCAGTGTCCCAATTGTGTTAATTACACTGTTTTTTAGCTCTGCCCCACAGCCAGTGTATTGTTTGTATACAACACTTTTGGGGTCTACGGAATTATAATTGTGGTTGACAGTAAAATGTTCAAAGCCATCATATAGCAATTCATCCAATTTGTATGTTCCAACAATCGATATAAAAAATACTTCCTTCTGTGATATTTTCCTTTATGAATTCAATATTTTCGTCGTTTATTGATTTGGAACAGCAATTAGAAAACATTTTTATTTGATTTTCTGTAAAAGCCACTGTGACAGAAGAACACGCCAAATGTTCTTTCTTTAAGTTAAAAGGCTTTCATCTACTTCTATAATTTTGTCACATTTTCTGTTGATTTTCAACAAAGGTTGAGCAATTAAAGCTGTGACACACTACGTGCATGTAACTGTTCCAGTCAATAACTTTTTAGCTGCTAGTAAGGCCAGAAGTGGCAGCCACTTTATTATGAAAGCACCTAATGAGTGGGCCACCATTACCTGCTATGAAGAGACAGACAATTACAACCATGCCTTCTTTGTGATTCAAACTCAGGCCCTTTAGTACTGCAGTAGGCCCTCCCTAACCACTGTACCATCTATGTGACCCTCTTCAGTTGAAATTTGAAAAATTATATAGATGTCATCTCCTGATGCCAAAAATATGTGAACTTCATGGCTGTAAGGAAGAGGATTTTCAAACCAATTCTGAATGCTTAATCCTTTCTTCTCCTAACAGGACTCTTTCCTGCAGAGCCATTTCGCTGTTGAGTTATCGATAAATGCAATTTCATCCCATGATTCTCATGAATGATGCCTTTTCTTTGAAAAAATTCTATGGCAGACTTTTCAAAAATCATTAGATTCTTAGAGCTATCAAAAAATTTAAAATATGATTCAATGGGTGCATTTACTACATTTGTCAAATTTGCACATTTGCTTTCTCTCTGGTTTTGTACAGTCCTAATAATCGAATTGTACCTAATTATGTCATGCAAAAGAAAGGTTTTTAGTTCTATTTTGCAGTTTGATGAAGTGTTCTCTTAATCACAGAGGTTTATTAAATCATCTCACTTTTTTCCCATGTAACGCTTCAAATAAAAGAATATTGCCACCAAAAGTCATTGCCATATTATAATTTTTAAAGGAATAACATAATAAATGTGAAAAAAACATGGCAGCAAAAATAAAAGCATGTTGCAATCAGTTGTTATTTTTAAAAAATATTGAATAGCACATAATATTAAAAAATATATGGTAGCTCTATCTGTAATTCTAAAGATATGCAGTTTTTAAATACTTTGTGATTTTGCTTTCAAATTTTATGTGGCATAAATGCAAAGAAAGTATTATATATTAAATTAAGTTAAAAAAAGACAAAAAAAAAAAAGTTGTGGTTACTAAGAAAATTAAACATTGATATGATGAACTGAGAAAAGATTGGTAAAAACATCAAAAGACAATGTTTTATAAGCCGTCTTGTTAAAACTGAACATTGATGTGATGGACTGGAAAAAAATGTATGATAATACTTAACTCGGTATCAAGAATTCTAAAACTTTTGTGATTTTCGTGTTGTATTTTATGCAGCATAAGTGCAAAGAAAACAAAGTTTAATAATAAAGTTAGAAAGGTAACAAATGTTGTGTTAGCGGGAGTTAATCCATATACCATAATTTTGATAAAAGGATTAAATTTCTGCAAGAGTTTATGATTATCAATTTATATATTCATAAACTAGAGTATTTATGTACTCCATTTATTATTTATTTTAAAACAATAACATTGATTTTTTGCTTGTTGACAGATAATTTTTCTACAATATTAGCGTCGACGATTTTTTGACATCTTTCACTTTGAAATTTCGATATCATGCATATTTGGTTATCATTGCATCAGAAATTTGTTTTCATTATCCATTTTTGCTTTAACTCTAAGTTCCTTCTGACATAGCATATAATATTCTTCTTCTTATTATTATTATTGTAAGTTTGACTGTCATTGTATGATTTAATACTTAGTTTTTAATGTTTATTTGTAACATTGTGTAATATGTTTTAATTAAGAAAATTAATGTAATTAGTCAACTATTTAGTATTTTATTTATTTATTTTTGAAAATGGTATCCTGGAAAAAATATTGATAAAATGTGCACATCATTTTAAATAGCCAATATGCATTTCATGAGATAGCAATATTATTTGTAGACTTGCTTTTATTGTCCATTGGCAATTTTATTTATTATGCAATTTATTTTGTATTTAAATGGTACTTTTGTTATATTTTTATGCATGTAATTGTTTTATTATTTTGCTATATTTGTATTTATGTATGAGTAGACAAAATTGTATCCCTATAAATAGCTGGAGGAGAATCAGAGTTGTAGGCTTTTGAAATTGACTGGGTGTTGTCACAATTAGGCCCACATGAAAATTTCTTGCCAAGCTGAGAGCATTTTAGAAATTTTCAAAAAGGAGATTTTTGATACTTAGAAAGCTAGTCACCTATATATGTAAAGCAAAAGATAAAAACAATTGTTCTGGTAATTCCATTCTCTCCTCTTGACTATGTGGTATGTGGTATAAGTAAATAGGAAGCTGTTAGAAACTTTGAATTGATTTAGAGTTTTGTCTTGTCTCTCAGGCTTACAATATTTTAATTTATTGCTTAGTAGTCATATTAACCCTCGGAGCATTACGGGCTTAGCTCTGAAATTTTAAAGTTCCTAAGAATGTCGTGGATAAATCATATTGTCTTGATAAACAACTCTTTCTTGATTGTAAAAAAACAACTCTTTCTCTTTGTACCTTGATTCCTTTTTTTTTTCAATATACATCCAACTTGAAATTGGATACAATTAAAGCTCTTAGAAATTTTCATGTGTAGTATGAAAGAAAGCCACCTTTCTATATGGAATTTTGCATCTGTAATGCTGAGAGGGTTAAATGATTTGTTTTAATTTTTCTCTTAATTTAATAAAATTAAGTAATAAATTTGGAACATACTCTTGGTGTATTCCAATTATGTGAGTAGCTGTTGTTTTCATTTTCCATTTTTGTGACGAACTGTGTATTTCTTTTATATGCATATAAAAATTGAGCAAATATACTGTGTATTCAGTTTTTGTATTTTTTAATATTTTTTAAATTATTTTATTCAAGTTTTTTCATTAGAAGCTTTTTAAACTGTTTTGTTAATTAGTCATAGATTTTTCATTTTGATGAAGTTTTTAAATTTTGTATCTATAAATATCACAGGCAAATGGGGCTTAATTAAGGAGATATTTTTAAATTTGTAAAAATAGTGTTACTTTGCAATTGAAGTGTTAGAATAATTTGTTTTATGGTCATGAAAAATTGAGTTTTCAGTTTTCTCTCTTAATGTCTTATATTGCAACATGTTATTTTTCCATTGCAGGTTATAGCTGATTTTGATTATACGTTATCACGTGCTCACAAGGATGGTGTCAAATGTGATACCACGTATGGTAAGAATTTCTTTCTTAGCAACCAATATACTGCCAGCAATCTTAACACATGACTGCTTTTCTACATATGTTTCAGCAATTATAGAAACTAGAAAGATGCATTTTGGAGAGGGGGTAGCTAAAGAAAAGTGAGACTTATTTATATATATTTATTTCAGGCTTAATTTCAAGCCAATTACATAGCACATATCTGCATTATATCCTTGTTTAGGGGGAGTAATCCATCCCTTGCAGAAAGTTCTTGGTGCAACATTTATTCATTTTGTATCAACTTTTATTGCATTCTGCTTCTATATTTATTGGATTTGATGAGCCATGAAATGAAAGCAATACATTATTTTCAGATATGTGATATTGTGTCACAAAATTATTAGTGCTACAATTCATTTACAAAAAAACTGCACATAATTGAAGACATAAATGCAGTGTTTATAACTGCTGAAAGAATGTTAATCATTCAGCCAGCCAGGCTGATATATACGAGGGTTGGAACTTTAATAGTGGCAACACAGCTGAAAAAACGCTATGCAACAAAACCAAAGAATATCGCGTATACCACACGTGAACTACATACCTACCTTACCTCTCAGCAAAAAGACTCGTCCTGCCTACGTCACGTGCATGCGGAATGACGCGAAGAACGGATCTTTGTACTAGCTCGCGGTGTAAAGTAAGTGTTGTCAGGATGTTTTCAAAACAAGAACAACGATGTTGGATAAAAATTGAATGTACCAGAGGTCGTACAGCATTCAATAAAGGACGCCAAAACGTGGCAGACATGCTGCGGCCAAGTCATCCGAGTGTCAGCGATGCAGACATGCAAACTGTTGCCACACTAAAGGACAGTGATCGCCGCCAAACGATTCGTCAGCTGGCCGGACAAACAGGATTAGTGCATACAAGTGTGCTGCACATTCTGAAGGAACGCCTGCCCATGAGAAAAATTGCTTCACGATGGCTTCCACATCAATTGACGGAAATGCAGAAATGGCTACTATACAATGCTGCCCGAGCCCACCTGGAGCGTTATGAGCGCGAAGGAGATGCTTTTTTATGCCAGATCATTACACTGGATGAGACTTGGGCCCAATTGTACGAGCCAGAACTGAAATGCCAATCAAACGAATGCCGTCATCACGGGTCACCACGCCGTTCGAAATTTTGTCAGAACCCTCGCAATGTGAAAGTTATGGTGATTCTCGTGTACGACTGTGATGGTGTCATCCTAACACATACCGTTCCCCCACAGAAGACCGTCACTTCGCAGTATTACTGCTAATTTTTGGAGCACAATCTCAGACCATCTTTGAGAGAAAAACGGCGACACTTTCTGCAGAACACTCCTCTCATTTTGCATGACAATGCTCGGCCGCATGCAGCGCAATGACTGATTTGTTCAAGCGATGGGGCTGGAAAGTTCTTTACCATCCACCATACTCCCCAGATCTAAGCCCTTGTGACTATGACTTAATTCCTAAGATGAAGGAACCACTTCGTGGCTTTCGCTTCCAAACTGTTCCTGAGATTCTTGCGGCAGTAGACCGGTCCATTTAAACTGTCAACAAAGCAGGCGCTGCTACAGGTATTCTGCGACTTCGACATCGTTGGAAACGGGTTGTACACAATGCTGGCGACTATATTGAAGGACTGTAAAACATGGTGACATGAATCACTTTTGTATTCCTTGTAAATAAATAGTTGCCACTATTAAAGTTCCAACCCTTGTATATCCTAGAATATTTTTTTGTAATGACTTTGTATATATATACATGCATCTTGAAATATGTCCAAGAAATTAAGACAATGTATTAAAAGTAAATGAATGCAGTTATAAAGTGTACCAGTGATATTTTGTTATGATCAAGAAAATATCTCTTTCTCATGGTAGATTTGGAAACTTCGGAATTTCCAAGCCAAACCTGTAGCTGGTTTTAGGTTAAAATGAAAGTGAGAATGTGGTGATGGCGATAAGGAGCGCGCCTTGCGCCCTCCGATAAGTGTGGCAACCCTAGAGGAGAAGTTTTTTACGAGTAGCGAGCAAAGCGAAACAGGCAGGCTGTCGGGGAGTATGCGCGATGTTCCTAAATAAAGCTTAATTTTTATTGTGCACTATGTCTCGTTAATATTTATATTAATGCAGTAAGAACATAATCTGTGATATGGAATTCGAGGATTGGTGGTAAAACATAACAGGAAATTACCATAATGGTGACCCGGACTGTGTTAAATCGTATGAACAGTTCTCAAGCACTTTCGGTTTTGACTACAAGCCATCACTTAATTTTTATTGTGCACTATGTCTCGTTAATATTTATATTAATGCAGTAAGAACATAATCTGTGATATGGAATTCGAGGATTGGTGGTAAAACATAACAGGAAATTACCATAAGAATTTAATTTGAGGGAAGTCATCCAATTCTTATTTAGCAGAAATCACAGGGATCCATGGGCAAGCTAATGGAATTTAGCAGTCTGTTTGATGCAGTTTTGAATGTGCTTGTTAAACAATAGCTGTAATAGCTTACCTTAGTTTCATAAAACCTATTTACTTGATCTGCTTATGTCAAAATATTTCATCTCCAAAAATACCAGTGTATTGTTAGCAATGTATTGACAGGTGCCAGCTAATACTCAAGCATCAAATTCCTTTAAATATTGAAAGTGATGTATGTAATTATTTTTACTTTTATGACTGTTCAAATAAACATGCATGTTCATTATTAAGATTAAGATGTTTTACATTGATATATTTATTATTAAACATTTAATTTTTTTTTTTTTTTTTTTTTTTTTTTTTTTTTTTTTTGTTGTTTGTTTCATTCACCTCACATGATGTAAATTTGATCTTGGTATAAATAATTGGGAATTTTCTGATTTTTTTTTATATTATGATTAGAATAAGTTTTTCATTCATAAATCAATTTTTTTGCAACAATTTAATATTTATATTAAAATCTGTCTTTAAATTCTGGATATTTTATTTTATTTTCAATTTCAGTTTTTAACCTAATGGGTAAATTTCAGATTTCTGGTGCCTAATATAGTTTTTTTGTAAAGAGTAATATTTGGGTGATACTAAATATTTTTGGAGTCCATGTTAAATCAAAATAATAATTTTGTAATAATTAATTTACTTTTATAATTATAGTTTTTTAATTATTATTTTGATGCTTAAACATACACAGAGGGACCTGAAAATAATCAGAATTGTACTCCTCCACATTGTATACTTGCAGTACGAAGTTGGCACCACTAGACCGTGGTGGAAGGACCTCTTATGAGTCAGTATACCAAGTAGTATCAACAGACAACGACACGTGGTTTCTTTGGAAGTTCTGTGCGTGTGTTTGTAATGTACTTGTAACATGAAGAAATGGCAGATTCTCATGAACAATGTGTGGTTTTTACTCAGCAAGAACACATCTGAGACTGTGGTGATGATGTAAAGCACTTACAAAGAACATGTTCTCAGTAAAATGCTAGTGCATAAATGGTGTTCTCAGTTTAAAAAGGGGGAAATTATCATTTGAGATCAGCCTGTTCCAGTTGTCCTTGAAATGTATGAACCGAGGACAAAAATAAATAAATAGTCCATGCTTTTTATTAGAAAATTCTGGTTATTTTGGAGTGCCCCTTTGTATACTATATGTTGATTAAAAAATGTCAGACAATCTTTAACCCTTTGGGCGGCCAGGGTTTTCGTTAAGAAAGCCACCTTTAATTTTCAAGAACTACTATGAGAACAAATTATTTTTTTGATTTTAATGCAAAAACTCTCCTAGTATTTCATACCTGGATTTGTTTTCTTTTGATATATTGCTTTAATTCCGTTGACATATTTTAATATGCACATATATATACGTTCTTACAGATATCACAATAAATATCTTGCCGCTTAGAGAGTTAACATCTTCTTCCAACCTCCAAAGAATTAATATGTGAGAATGAATAGATTTGTTATTTATAACATTTTTTAGAGAAACCATTCACATAATTATTTAAAAAAATAATTAATGATAATACAGTAATAGCTTGCTCATTTGTTGATGATGAGGTTCTGGGTTTAAATTCTGTTTAAAGACACGATTGATATAGGGCCTTACAAGCAAAAGCAAAAACCTTGATTAGATAGAAGAGGCTTCCCGCCCAATGCTTTGCATGTAATTGGAACATGTCCTTTTTAAAATAAAAAGGAAAATATAAGCACATGTTGAATGTTGGTAGAGATAGTAGTATATATTACTAGAGACTGACTTTCACTTCCAGAGTTACAAGTATAAGGTACTTGCCTACAGGTGATAATGTTGAATTAAATCTCAAATCTTTATAGCTTAATTCCTTATAAGAAATTACATAAAAGAACTGCAGTCATTATTTACTTGAAATATTTTCATAAAGGCATCACTGTATTTTTTTAATATGTGTATACATATTAGATATATATAATTATAATATATGGCTGTTATAATTTTTTATGTTAGTATATAATTTGTCTTACAATCAAGATTTACTTAAACTTGATTTCAGTATCAAGTATTAAATTTGATTTCGCATAGTATGATATTCGCATGGTATTTGGTATTAGTTGATATATATAATTACTGAAATTCATAATTAAATTCTTAATAGTGTAGAACTACCAGCTGAATATTCATGCTTGTTTTCTTAATGGCTCAAACCTTTTTATAGAAATGTCACTGTGAAGAAATATAATAATTTTCTTTAATGCTCTACAGTTATAATTGATATATTAGAGCTTTATATGGTTTTTGTAAAACGTATGTATTGTTGCTTTCTAAACTCATTTCTCATGTTATTGCACTGTATTTAATATCTATGAGCCCACCAGCTGCCAAGCAGTAAATTCACTGAACACTTGTAATTCGTTCCGAGGTTTGAATCTCGCGAATGGGCATTTTCATGGTTTTCTCCATGTGTGACATGTATACGAGACAGTTTCCCTTAGAAAGTCCTCCACGAAGGCATCCCTTCTCTTAGGCAGATAGCCATCGAGACTTTGCGATAATCACATAAACCAACTTAATATCTGCAGTATAGAAGTAACTGTCGTAATAGCATGAACATATTCTGTTTATTAATCTAATGAGGGACTGCGGTTTAGTCAAGCTCAAAAGACATATTTAGATTTGAATGTAGTCCTTTTTTTTTTTTTTTTCTTAACTTGCAGATGTATTTTGTTTCTTGGAAAATATAAATAATGACACTTTATATTACTTAAGAATTTATGCAACAGCTAAATAATACTAAATGCATATAAAAGAATAATAAAATAAACAATACCTTACCTCAAAATTTATAAAGCATGCTGAGGGAGATTAAATCTGTAAAACGTGGTGCTAAAGAAATTATGTGTTAAATATATGGGTTAGAATAATGATTAATTTAGTTGGTCATTATAATGAAAAAGATCCTATGTTAATAATGATTAATTTAGTGGGTCATTATAATGAAAAAGATCCTATGTTAGATGCATTTCAAATGAAGAAAATAATTCATAGTTGTATTTTTATTTGCAATGAAATATATATATATATATTCGCTGTCATTTACTTTATCTGTAACTCAATCTTTTAAGTGTGTAATATGCTTAATTTCTTTTAGGCATTCTAAAGAAAGCACCATTTGTTCCAGAAGATTATAAAATACAGGTTTGTATTAAGAATTCTAGAATGCTTATGAATAAAATTTTAAAATATATTTTTATGTAAATTTAGTTTTAAATATGGAAAGTGATCTTTTTCCTCCATTTATTGTCTGTGTTTTACTAGCTTCTAATGGCTCCTTAATTATTCACGAGTTCTTTTACATGCAATTTCTTCTAATTTTAATCTACTTAATGTGAAAATTAATTCTTTTGTGTACTGTGTGAAAATGTTTTTCAAGTTATAGCTTCCTCCATTTAAATACTTTTGCGATATGTAGTGAGAAAATTTTCATTTCTGAGTTTCTGTACGCTTTCTGTCTCTAAAGCATAGATGAAAAATAGGCATGAAAAAACTTTTATAAAAATTTGTTTTATGAATTTTTGTATGTACATCAGGAAAATTTAAGATGCTTTCAATGCATTTTAGAGACTAGTATTCTTAATTAAAAACTTAAGATATATAAATCAGCATAGTTTAAATTGTGTGATTAATTACATTTTTGCAAAATTTTGTTGTATTTTTTAAATTTTCTTAATACCCAGGCATATTTCTAAAGCATCTTTGGAGAGTACAGTTAGTGATTTGTACCATGAATATCATTTAAAATTAAATAATATAATTATGCAGTAAGAAGTGTTACTGAATGGAAAAAATATACCTTTTAAATCATAATTGCTCTTTATTTCATAAATTGAGGTTTCATATTTTTAATTTTATAATTTCTGCATGCCATCTTACCAGATTTAAACTGATGATCTATAATCCGGAAAAAACCGATAATCCAGAATCGCCAAAGTCCCGACGAGTCCGGATTAAAGACTTTTGACTGTATCTTATTATCAAAAGTCAAACCTTCTTTAAAATCTTCTCTTAACTTTTCTAAATAATTTAGAAAGAACAAAATAATAGTGACACATAAACACATTCTTTCTTGTTCTCTGTAGATAATTAGACTAAGATTTGCTTAAAAATATAAATAATGTAATTCTAATTAAGGATGAATTAGGCATTGTTGAAGCATTACAGAATTTTGTGCATGGAATTTACAAATGAAGGTACATACTTAATTTCTAACAGTAATAAATAATAATGTAATAAAGTGCCTCCCCCAAGAATCAAATTTGATGAGTTATACACTAATTTTTATGGCTCTTGAACAGTTCATTGTTTTAATAATAACATACAGAGAATTTGAAATTATATCAACACTTGTTGCAAATGGAAATTCCAAGATGTTCCAGTTCTCCAATGAGCATTGAGCGCCACTATGTGTCATCTGGTATATACGAGGGCTGTTCAGAAAGTATTGAATCTGAATTTATTCTATTTATTCCAGAAAACCTCTAGCGTGTGCATCATGCACGTGCATGTTTCACCTTGTTTCACAAAACCCAGCAGCCCTGATTGTTCAGTGCGCCGTTCAGTCACACTGACTTCTTTCATGGGGAGTGTTTGTGTGTGTTCGGCGAAAAGAGAAAATGTCTGAAAACACAGAGCAGTGAATCTGTATCAATTTTTGCTTTAAGCTCAGTAAAACAGGCACCAAAACCTATGAGATGATGAAAACAGCATTTGAAGATGAGGCGATGAGTCGTGCTCAGGTTTTCAAGTGGTTCCGGAGATTCAAGGAGGGTCGGAAATCAGTGGACAGTGATCCCCGTCCACCTCTCGCGATGAGGACAAGATTGCACAAGTGCAGCTGTGGTGTGCTCTGATCATTGTTTAATAGTCCGAGAAATTGCACAGGAGTGGGGCGTTTCCATAGGATCATGTGATGAAATTTTGAGAAAGGACTTGAACATGCGCCAAGTGTCTGCAAAGCTTGTGCCTTGTCTCCTCACTGAGGATCAGCAATTCCACGACTGGCAATCGCATCTGATTTGTTTCAAAGTGCAAGAGATGATCCGGCGTTCATGAAGCTCATCATTACTGGGGATGAGTCGTGGATTTACGGATACGATCCCAACACAAATCAGCAGTCGTCAGAATGGAAAAGCCCTGGGTCTCCTCAGCCAAAAAAAAGCACGGCAGGTGCAAAGCCAGATCAAAGTCATGATGCTTGTGTTTTTCGATGCAGATGGAATTGTTCATCATGAGTACGCTCCACAGGGCCAGACAGTAAACAAGGAATTCTACTTGGACGTCATGAGGAGATTAAGAGAGGCGGTTCGCAGAAAATGACTGGTGTTGTCTGGATGCTTCATCATGACGGAGCCCCAGCTCACACCTGCAATCTTGTGCAGCAGTTCCTGGCAAAACACGGAACAATCCAAGTAGCACATCCTACCTACTCGCGGGACATGTCACCTCCAGATTTCTTCCTCTTTCCCAAGATCAAGAACACCTTAAAAGGACACCAGTTTCAGGACATTGAGACTATAAAACAGAATTTGACGCAGCAGCTTCAGGCCATCCCAAAGTCAGAGTCCCAGAAATGTTTCGAGGACTGGGAACATTGTTGGGCCAAGTGTGTTACTGCCAATGGAGCATATTTTGAAGGAGATTGACTCAAAACCTGTTTTGTATAATAAATTCAGTCTCGATACTTTTTGAACAGCCCTCGTATTAGCCAATGAGCACAAAGCAAGATCAAGGTTGTTATTTTGTTCATCTTGCCTCTGAGTGGAGCGAGTGCATGTACTTTTGAGAAATAGTGTAAGAAATTACAATATTTTGTGCTAGTTAAGTCTGCAAAAAGGTAAAATACTCATGTAATTTTCAAAAATCATATGCACATGACTTTCCTTCAATTTCCTCAAGGAAATGTAATACATTTGTGATGTGTACCGTTTGTCGTTGCAATTTTTTGATTTCCCACAGTGAAAGGGCCGATGTTCTTAAACATCTCTGTACCCAAAAACATGAGGACAACATGAGTTCTATTGTAAAAAAAATATAAATCAAACTTTTCTAGGGAAACAAAGCACCAAAATATCATTAATGTAGAATGCCTCTTCTTTGCATTTTTACTGGAGCACAGCCTGCCACTGAATGCATAGGATCATGCTGCAGCTACATTTAGAAAAATATTTCCCAATGGTGAAATCACTAAGAAATACTCAAGTACAAGGACCAAAGCAGATATAATTGATAAACAAATGGGTATGAAAAATAAATCTTCAGTTACTAATTGCATTAAAACAGCTCCATTCTGCCTCTGTACAGATGAAAGCAATAATACCAATTCAAAACTGTATCCAATTGTTATTTCTTTTTTTTTTTTTTTTTTTTAATTACAGTGTCTTCTGATTTAAGTGTAGTTTGCTGTGCCCACTTCATTTAACAGGTTTTCATATATCAGAGCTATTAAAACTTTAAAATAAAATCCTATTCCTCTGAATAATTGTTTAGCACTTGATGCCAATAATGCACCAGTAATAGTAAACTTAAGACTAGTGTTGCGGGCATCTTAAAAAAGGAAAATTCAGATTTTCAAGTTATAAGATTGCAACCTGTCACCTCTTAAATTTAGCAGCTGAAAAAGGTCAGCTTCATTACCAATAAGTGTGGGTGAACACATTGTTGACATTTATCATTATCTTGAAAGGAGTTCTAAAAGTTGTTAGGGTTAATATTAAAGGGAGAAAAAATACTTCTGTTACACTAACATTACTAATTACTAATCCCAAGTTATGACGTTGCAAACTCGTCGCAGATGGCGTCGCAAAAATGTAGCAATATGTTGTCTTTAAGATGCCCAGATGTCCATGAAACTCCACTGTTTTGCATCCATTGCAAAGACGTCTCTATTACATCTTTACAGATGAGATTTTTGTCGCATAGACGTCATTATTGCATCTTTTGCAGGTGATATTTTGGTTGAGAAATCATCGTATGATGACATCTTAACGACGCCTAAATGTTCGCAAAATTCCACCTTTTTGCAATAGTTGTGAAAATGTCGGTATTACGTCCTTGTGTTACATATTGATTTATGCAGAAAAATAAGCTTAATAATTAATATAATTTATTAAAAAAAATTTGTATTCCTTGTATTTTTCTAAAGTTTAAATATTTTATCATTTCCTGAAAACCAGAAGACAATACAATTTTTTCTCTTTAGACTAAATATGCATATTTAATAATAGCCTTAATTATTTTCAGTACTTTAAACTATATTTTTAAAATAACTTCAATTCTGAGTTACGATTATTTAAGATTTCATCATTTTTTTTTCCCTTAAGTGAGAGTAATTAGGAAAGTGATTATTATAAATATAACATTAATAATAGGTTTTAAGTAAATAAAACTCAATTAGACATAAATAAAAGTAAAGATATATATGTGGGTAAAAAAAAGAGCGTTTCTGATAACAGCATTTCACATTTATTTCTGTTAAATCTCAGAGACATTGAAAATTGCTCCTGTCATGTTAAATTAGGAAGCGGTTATCAAGGTAACATAACCAGTATTTTACCTGAACTCAAGTATAAATTTATTCGTGTTTTTCACAGTAAAAAATATAACCATTAACTTATATATCTCCAAGATATGCAAATGAAATACAGTATAATGTAGTTAATAAATGTGATAAAAAATATTTCATACAAAAATATACCTAAATCTAATAACTTCTCATATTCATATCTAAAACGAAATAATAACTTAACAAACAACATACATTACAGCACTATTTAAGAAAAAACATGAACTAGTAGTGTTTGAAAGTATAAATAGCAAAAGGAAGGTAACAAAACTAAAATTTCCAATTTCTAAAATTTCCAATTTATTAATTGGAAATTTTAATTTATTTTGTATTAATAAAAATATTTGTGTTTTTTAAATAATAAGCAACTAAAAGTGCAATAATTATGGATTGCAATATTTACTGGTAATGCTGATGTTTCTTAACAGCATTTCTTTCGATCATATGTTAATGTATTTACTTATTTTTAGTTTCTACATTTTAGAATAGTTGTAGATTACAATGATTATTTCATGCACTTTTTATAATCAATAACTTTCCTTTTGTTACTGTACAGAAATAATTTAAATAATATAGT